AAGAGCTATGTCGTCCGCATACTCCAGGTTTGTCACCGGTCATCTTGCAGGACATCCACTCCGGTAGTCCGAAAGAACCGAGTCACTCATGATCATTGTGATCACAAAGTTGAAGAGGAGAGTATAGTACAACGCTGACAAACCCCACTTGCTGTGGGGAACTCAACAGACAGTTTACTGTAGACACTTACAAGGGATCAGAAGTCATGGTAGAGACTGCATAATGAAAAGCAATTTAGCCGGCACATCCTTCATGTATAGGTAGTGCCACAAACTGGCGGGGTCTACAGCGTTGAAGACGGCTTTCGAGTCAAGCAAAATCATCACCATCGGTCGTCTAAATGTGTATCTTTGCTCTAAAACTTGGCGAAGAATAAATACGTGATCGACACAACCACGGCCAGGGTGGAAACCAGCCTGACTATCAGTAATTCCCTTCTCACGGGGACCGGAGTTCGATTCCCCGTCGAGGCAGATTATGGTGTGAAGTTTAATCGTGACTTCAACTTCCTACGAAGATCAGCAAGTCATCGGAGAATAATAATCGTAAGGAGTCCAGAGACAATGGGAACAAAACTAATGCTTCTCCGTACGAAGTAAGCTGACCTTTCCTAAAGATGGACATGACAGTTGACAGTCGCCAGTCTGAAGACATCTCTTCAGTGTTCCAGATCGTGTTAAACAGAGAAGCAAGTCCAGTCAACAAAGAATCATTTCCATCTTTTACCAAAGATGGAGGAGGGTCGTCGGGTCCCGGAGGTTTGTTTCGTTTCAAAACGGCAAGCTCATGTCGAATCTGCTCAGAAGTGGGAGATATGACGTCTACTGCCCAAGTAGACTCAGGTGATTTGACAAGCGGCAGTGTCGCAGCACGCCTGCTAAACTGCTCTTCAAAATGTCCGCCCAATGGGCCTGTCGACGAGACTGAGAATATAGCAACTGTCCATCTTTCTCAGCTATCGTATCGCTAACTGATGGTTTTCTCGGATCCGTGTTCCGAATGAGTTACAATAGCACTCAGCTGTTTCCAATAGCACCAGCTTGCTCCATCTCATGGGACTTTGCAACCCACCAACATTCCCGGTCAACTCGAAGACTCGTCAGAGATGGTTTCAGGAAGTTACGGATACGACGGAACTCAGTGTCCATCGGAACCCGTTTCCGTGCTTCCAACAAACTGAACGATGTTTTAGAGACCCATTCACAGTTACGATGTCCCGAATTGGGTGCACAGTATGAGTCATAACCATTCATCATGGAACATTTGAGGCGATCCCCCAGTCAGGGTTGGACTCACCAACTACATTCATCACTGACAATTTCTGGGCCTGCTCCTCATGATATCTCTCATGCAGAATTTTCCCTCCACAAATTTAAACACAGCCAAAAAGAAAAACAGATACAATGAAAGCAGGCGTTTTGAACATTTTCGTGAAATTATCGGGGTGCGCACAAGAGAAAAGCAATGTGAAAAGTCAATTCGTTCGGAGAAAATCGAATAACAACCTCAACAAAGTAAGGCGAGGCTAGCCGTAAGTTCGGTCTGATTGCACCGAAGGGGCTTCAAGTCAAAGAACAGCTGAAGCTTCGGCAAACTTAAGCAAATGGGCATTGTTCTGTCTGTCAGCTATTTTGAACGAACCCGTTTGTGCATAAAGGATAAACAGATAAACGACACGCGTCATAATCAGTACCAACACATGTTAGCCAAATGTGAGAAATACACCTCAGCTAATCTGCAGCAATACAAAAAATAAAAGGTAAACCCTTTCGTATACAATGTGTACATAGGTACATACGCACAAAAGTTTATTTTCGAATAGTACGTGCAGATGTACACACTCTCATTTGCATAATTGACAATGAACGACAGACAGTTTTCTTGCACTATGCTAAGAAATCCAGTACATCACTATCAATATAGGCAATAAGTTTTTGGATCAAAGTTCTTGCTTGTGTACGAAGCGGTCAAACGATAGAGAGTAAAAAAGTAATATAATGCTAAATATCACAGTATACAAGGGGAACAAAATCGTCGCTGGAGGGGGAATCCAAAAGGGGAGGGGGATAGATAAAGAAATTCGCAACACAAACGTCATTGGGATTGGCTCTTCACCATGTCAACAAGCGTATCCAACCAGACGTGTTCATTGTCCTTCGGTCTCCAACCCGGCAGTCGGGAAACACCAACCGATGCCAACTTCGAAGTGAAGGACTTCATTCCTACTTATGAATGGAAGAATTTTGATGAGTATTTTTGTTGGTCGCAATCAGCAGACAATTCAGATATGTCGACCAGCTATCCGTCTGGTGCTTTTCCGGATAGCTGGTCGACATATCTGAATTGTCGGCTGATTGCGACGAACAAAAAAGACTTCATTCTTTTTGACCAAATCATGTTCTTCCATCCAGACCCCGTTCGCCCCAACAACGCATGTCGCGGAAGTAAGTGGGCATGCATGCGCAACACGTGGCCCAGCCATCGGAGTCTGATTCGTGACATATGGTGCTGAGCGGTTCAATGACTATTCCTACACCAAATGCGTGGAGCCCAACACACTTATTGCTCACGTGGTGTTCCCACCAGACATAAACTAAGCTGCGAAGATAGCGATAGTCGAGCGTAATAAGCTTCTTTAAATCTGTTGGCTTTATGGACCAGGTTTCGCAACCGTACAGGTAGGCTGAACGGACGGCCACATTGTAAATCCTGTCCTTGAGAGCGAGAGAAATATCACGCGGGCGCATCGCGACTTCAAACGGAGGCGGTTACAAAACAAGTTTGTTTGATTAAACACTAAACAAGATGATAAGGGGCTATCGAAACATCCAAAAGCACAACACAGTATGGTGCAATGTGCTAGAGGGTTACGAAGACCGTAACATCATTTAAAAACCAGTATGATGGTGTTATCATCACCAGAACAGCAGATAAGGATGTTGCGTACCTGAGAACAAGACACTGACTTTCTACGCTGACTGACACTGCTAGTAGATCAATATATGGTGCAAAATGATGTCAAAAGAATGAAAAACAGGCCAGGTGGAGGTCAGAGCAAGGATAACTGCGTACTAGGGGAGTGTTTTTAAGGTATTCAAGCTAGGTAACAATACACACTGATAGCTTTACAGTTTACGCCTGGCAAACTTTGTTCGCACATGGGCTTACAGTTATATGACTCGACTCGGCAAAACGATTGGTTATGTCAACGATGAGTCTAAGTGCATACACTTGGGAGTCACAATAATAATGTGACAGTAGAAACGGAAAAATTACAGCACAATAACAACCGAAGTACAATGTTGTGTAATGCGAAGATATCCAAGAGTTCACATTCGTAGCTGAGGTGTAAGTGAGCCTGGAAGCCTCTCTGGCTGCAATCCATCAAGATCTGGGATAAAGGGGAGTGTGCCATTCACTTAATAATTCAAATTACCTATAGATGAGAAACACCAGCTATCGTGAGTTGAATTTCACCAAGCAAGACCAATGTCCACCACGCCGTACAAAATACCTACTTATATGAAGTGAAGTCAAATTCGAGTAACCAGTCACGATTACGGCACAGAGGCAATAGCAGGTCCTGTTCTGTAGATTCCTATAGCCATGTTGTCATCACAAAGGCTTTCCGGCCGATCTATCGCGTGAAAAGAATCCGCTCCAAACTGATCAAGTACCGCATACTTGCAATGGCAGAGGCGATGGCCATCCGTCTTAACCACCCCCCTCTATGTGTGCACAAACAGTATGTGAGGACGTTGGCTCTCCCCTGATCATCTGTCGCGCACTCAACGCTTGACGCAGCGACTAGAATCGTACTCATAAGTAAGGGATTTTAATATAAATAACTGAGGTTCGTCACAACTTGCTTTCAAATCAGAGTCGTCCGGAAAAGCCCTAGACTGCAGTTTCAGCCTGTTGGGTAACATCAGTAGTGCGCATCCATCAGAATTTGAGCCCATGACCATCAGCGGCTTGCACCGCCAGTCAACAGATGATGCCACTGGGTGACGGGGCGCAGCTTCGGACCGTCATGATTTACAAGCTAACTGCAATATAGCGGCGTCTCATCCACCACTGTCATGCAAGTTACGAACGCTGCAGAGGACAGGTTTGGCCCCGAAAGACACGACGACCACTAATAGTAGCTATGTACGATATAGCGTTTAGAAACTGTTAGAGCGGATGTGCCCATAAATAAGAGATTTTGATAAAAATAATTACGGATAGTCACAGCCAGCTTCCAAATCAGATAGTCGTCCACATGGAATTACCTGACTACAATCGTGTGAACAAGTCGAAACATAGCTGTCATGTCAACTTTATACCTCATCCTTAATACGTACTTTAACCTGTTCTATGTTAGCTATTTAAATGTCATGTATTTAACCTGGTGATGAATCAACGAAAACGAGCTTGTTTGCTATACTGACTTTCCATGAGTAATAAGAACCAATCATGAACTAGCAAAATAAAGTAGTGACAAGAAAGAAAAATAGTTCACGGAGTTGGGCACTCAAAGTGACTAAGAAGAAGAAATCAAATGAAAGAACGCCACCAGCTTCGCGATTCCCCTCAACAGAAAGAGTATAGAACCACTGGTGGGTGCAATCTTCAGATCGCTACCCACTGCGACCCAGGTATTTGAACGCAAGACAAGGGCCATCCGCCTAACCATCGACACAAATGCTGAACCGAGAAAATCACATGTGAAGAAACATAGCGTAATCTGCAGATGTGGGATTACAGTTCGAACAGGATAAGTTTGTCACGTGTTCAACGGGCCTAATGAATGGATCGGACAGGTCCAGATTATGATCACATGAACAAAGACTGCCTTAGCAACTACATAAACATATGCCACGAGGTGATTCATCAGTTGTCACTTGCATCCCATAGGTGGTCCATACAAAGAGAGGTTGTGCAAAAACAAGAAGCGCAGCTGCAGTAAGTTCAAGAAAATGAAGTTGTGGGCAGATGTCGCAGACACTGGACTCACCTGGAAAATTCGAGCCAAGCGAGCACCGAAGCGAAGCACTGCAGACAAAGAAGTGCCAGTAAATAACATAACTGTTTCTCTTGGCCATTCAACGCAACGATGGAGCGAGAGTAGGGTGTGGAGTATGGTGCATTGCTGAGTTTCGCCGAGGTGCATGGACAACAGACCTGGTTCGATGAGTGTTTAGTAGCATCGTCAATCACGGACATGGCACCTTTTCCTGCCTCGAAACCGAATCCGAACGTATCCACTCTGTTAGCCCTGTGGCACCTATCACATCTTTTGGAGCTGCACAGACAATACAAAGCGTACAGAACTGCGGCCGTATAGACACTAAACAAACCGGCCACATGGGCTCGCAATCCGATCAGGGTCCCGCTTTGTGGTTGACCATTTGGATTGAGTAAGGTGATTGTAACTCTCGAAGTGTCTGCGAAAACGGGAATAGTTTCTGTGACAGAGAAAAAAGACAAAGGATATGGCGTCAAACATTAGAATGAATCATCGAAGAAAGACGGATCTTCCATACCTCTTGTGGTAGACAGACCGACAGTGTGATGGGTGACTGACTGAATAGCAGTTTGACCAAGGAAAAGACAAACACACAGACAAATTGTTACAGCATTCGTGTGTAAGCAATAGTAAAGCGCCACCAACTTTTCTCATTTAGGAATGTTATGGTGGAAATAAAAAATTTTCTTGCAATAAAGATATAACATTACAGGTAAAGGTACAAGTTACCGTTGGAAAGGCTGGTACCTAACCTAAGTCAGTGGTAGATGAAGCTGTAATTCAGAATGATACCGCTGTTTTGTGGATTACGAATACAGGTAACGGGCAAATGGATTCGAGCTTCAACACCGAGGAAACCAGGAAAGCGAGCGTCATGCGAACACAAGGCAAAAGCATGGCAGGTGCTCCAGATCGAACAACGATATTACAAGGACGCGCGCGCAATCTACAACTGCAGAAGAAGATACTGTCAAGTTGAGCCGAGGGAGGTCTGTCGCTGGGTAGCCGCAAGGTAATCGAATGCGAGACCGTGTTAGGAACTGTGCTGATGACATGTAAGTGCTGGTCTGCACACCGTTCACGCTAGTTCAGCCCACCAATTATGACTCGTGTACGGATATATGGTGGATACAGTTGTTTTGATAATCTTCACGGTGTACTAGTGATAACAGAGGTACGGGTTAAAAATGAAATCTTAGATGCAACAAAAGCAAAAAATAGGGAACGAATGAAAGAGCGCCACGTAGGTAGTTGGACCATATCTGTGAAGCCATCTAACCAATGGTGCGATCGATTCAACAGCGAGCGTCGACTCACAAGTAGTCCCTAAAGTAATCTTCTGACTAGTAGATAACCGATTTAAGCATTGCCGGCACTTGTAACGATCGCGATACATGCAAACCACTAGCTAATCGATGCAAATAAATAAGCCGTTAAAAGTCGCCGCTCTCTCCTCAAACTTTGATGGGTAGGTTGAAATAATCCCCCTGAGTTCCAACAACTGAGCTATCTAGTATTAGCGGTTTTAAAATAATTTGTTAAGTGCTACCAATTGTGTCGCAATTCAACCTCTCCAACAGACTAAAACAACAAGGGAGACTTTAGATTCGACCAGTGATTGTTAACTGTCATAGGTCCATGAAACCGGATGATGCAGGCGGGAATATTCACTGGAATCCGTTCCACAAGAGAAACCCTCGTACGTCTTATTTTGACACAGTAAGTGCAGTAAGCCATGGAATTAGCGTCAGATGTTGCCCCCTACGCATAATCCAAAGATGTAGCATACATTAACTGTGAAAGAGTATAGTAGCAGAAGCCAGCATCATACTTTGATTAACAGCTTGAGGACGTTGAAAAACCCCATTTGGATGAGTATTCTTAGTAGGAAAGATGGCCCGGCTTCCTTGTTAACGTTGCTTATGAAACCAGCAGTAACGGCCTAAGTATGAAAAAGAGAAAGGACGAAGCAAAAAAGCGGAAAAAATAACAAGCGTTTGGGTCCCATGGGCAGACAGAACAATTAAGTTGCTCATTCCAAGAGTTCTCGTTCGAAGACATACAATGGTCCAATAACCGTACCCATGAGCAAACTGGGAGCAGGTCTGTCTCGGAAGTGTGACCGCGATGTCACACATGAAGCCGATCACAAGTATGTGGATTAGTCAAAATAACAGGAAGACAGTGACTATGGATGGTGTCCTCTCACATCACTACCCACAACAGTAATATAAGTCGTGTCTGAAAATTTCGGCAAATGGTCTCAGAAAATAGAGGAAACAAAAGGTAAACACAACACCTGTACTGGCCTTCAAAGTAATAAACATTAGCTATAACACATCTCTGACATCAGTTGTAAAGCTGTTGGAAACTGTAGGCAAACGGTTCTTGTAGAATCGCCCCAAGCATCGTGGTCATGCGTTGTTGGATATCCGCAACGTCTGTGAAGCGCAAACATTTCATGACTAATTTAAGACGGAGAAACAAAAAGAAGTCTGCCGGCGCCAACTCTGTAGAATAAGGAGGGCATTAAAGATTAGTTAACTAGCGTTGAGCGAGAAAGTTGATCCCGCGGATCGCAGTGTGCAGACGGGCGTTGTGGTGGAGGGAATTCCACTGTCCATTCCGGTACAGTTCTGGCGGTACAAACCGGGCACAAATTTTCCGCTTTTTAATGTTCGTGAACAATAATGCTTACACAATTTAGCCTATCTAAAGCTCCTTTGCTACTATGCTTAAGCGGAGACGCCAACCATCAGCAAGCATCTGTTGCACTCGTTCGATGCTGGATTGGATTGCGCTTGTTGGCGGTCAACCAGAACGCGGCTCATCCTTGGTATTTTCCTTGCTATTTCTACGGTGTTTAAGCCACTCAGACACACAAGTTTTACTCACTGCCTCAACACCGTACACCTTCACTAATATCTCGTGAGTCTCTGTCGCAGTTTCGCATAGTTTGAGACAAAACTTCGTGTTGGCCCGTTGCACCATTTTGCACTCCAATTCGTAATGACGCGAGTTCCCACCCTGACTCCGTCAGCTAGGTCGCAGCGTGCACGGCTACTTCACATCGTGAATTTGCGCGATTGGGGGGCTTGTTGATACGTCTCTCAATGCGTACGTGCAGACCTTTCATTCTAACCAGGGCGGTTTTGAGCATATGGGACTAATCACCGAACTTTGCAGACGTACCCTGCACATTACCCATATGAACTGATACTTCGATGCCGTATGAGCAAAGTGACCTAGAAAATAAAGGACAAGAAAGGGGGAGGGGAGACCTAATGCAAAACTAAATGCTCAAAGCAAACATTCGGAGATAAAACGACTACACCTTATCAACAGCATATAGTCAAAAACAGATAGTTATGGAACAAAGATAGGGCTTCCACGGTCTAGTGTTATAATCGGAGATCATCATGCTGAAAACAGTATAAAACACTATTCGATCTTGATAGTATCTTCAAATTAGCGGTTGCTTGTTTCGTTGGAAAAGCATCTTTACTCTGTAAATTATTGAGAATACCTGTACCTGGGGGTGTGGATGCGAAGGTTGTCCTGTTCTCCGAGCTGAGCATTTCTGTTGCAGACGTTTCGTTAACAAGTTAGGCAACATGTTTAGTGCGGCTATTAAGTCCTGGTTCGCGGAGTCTCGTAAACCATCGTCCGATCGCTTGTGCGCACGTCATGCTGAAAATGTTAGAGCGACTCCTTGTGACTTGGATTTCTGCAAGTTCCCAGTGAATAAAGACTTAATAGCCGCACTGAAGATGTTGCCTGGCGTGGTAACCAAACGTCTGCAACAGAAATGTCCAGCTCGGAGAACAGGACAACCCTCTCATCTTTACTCTAGTTGCAGCGGGTTTATCTAGTCCATAGGACATAGTTGCCCGTTCGTCTATCTGGACTATTTTGATTAGTTCAATAAGATTCTATTCCACCAAAGTTCTAAAAATCTTCCCCGGATACTGCAATTTATTTGTTTTGTTGAACATGCCCATACAGCCAAAAAAATTTTAAAAGAGCCACAAGAAAATACTGCATAAAAGTGAGAAAACACAGTGCTAATTAGCAATTCGGTCTTAGTCATCGTTCAGCTGACAAGACACAGTTACCACAGATCCCATCTAGCAATGTTCGCTTGCTGCTGGGAAAAATAAGGTTGCTGTTGTGCAACAAAATGAACATCCGAATGCAGCCATTTCGATGCCGCAAGAAGGTTGGCTACATTTTGATGTGGAAGACACTGTTTAAATTACTGATTCTTTTCCCATCACGTCCCACCGTCACGGAATGCTTCTCAACTATGCGGGTTGTCATCAGTTCCGTTTATCAACGATAGTGTAAGTCGACAGCCACACTGTTCATGTACTCAGCGGTTAGCATCAGCTGCTATTTGATTGAAGGTAAGCCAAATTTTTTGAGCGGTTTTAGCGCTGTTGACATCGGAAACGTCTACATACCGGCACCAGAGTTGAAAGATTGTGTAGATGACGTTCTCGGTGGCACTAGCGAAAATCGACCGCTCAGCCTGCCACCGCCGGGGACTTCAATATAAATTATACCACTCATTCAGGCACTTTATTGGAGCAACACATTGGTCTTTCTGACCAGCCCAGAAGTGCAATAAGAGTACGTCTTCCCAAACCCCGATCAGTTGTCTTCTGCGCATAAACAAGCCCCACTCGGTAACCCCAGTCAATGTATCAGAAAAGTATACCCTGTCGTTTACGGCAAGACTAACTCCAGAACTTTGGCTAATAAGCCCTTCAAAACTGATAGGCGGCCAGTTAGTTTAACGTATAAAATTGTTAGGCTACAGGCAACGCTGGCTTCTGTTGAGTGTATTGTTTTCAACAACGTTCGTTTGGCGTGAGCATCTCACTGATTATCCTAACTTTTGCTTCCATCTGCGCTGACCGGTTGAAACTATGTACCTACGCACAAGAAAATTCTCCCCACCAAAATAAACAACAGAAGCAACAAAGTACGAGCCAATAAATGTTCCTCTTCAATAATAAGAGGAGAGAATAAGCTGTACATAGATGCCACGTTATACAACTACAACTGCCGCTGTCTGTGGAGGTAGTTAAAGCATCTAGGAGGTAAACGTTTAAGTAAGTGACTTGGTCCTGTGTAAGGAGATAAACTCAAATCTGAGTACTGTTCTTCCCCGCAGGAAGCACTCTCTTTGCCTTCATTTTCTGGCTTTGGTACAACAATTAAGTTCTAACACTGAAGTCTACCGCGGACTCACTAAACTAAGCTCAAGGAAGGCTGGTGGGGCCGATACTCACATACTAGCTGTCTTGAAGTAGTGTGCCGATACTCCCATCATGTCTCTGACATTCTTCTCAATCGTGCCTACATGATTGCAGTATTCTTAACACTCGGAGGAATATATCGTCTATTTGTTTAATCTCTTTATACACCGAAATGGCTCCATTTACCACTAACTTTAATAGATGTGAGTGCGCTGAGTACGTAGTTTTAGGCGGCACTACTCCCATCGCGGAGTCATTTACACCTTTCCAGAACGAGCTACATGTGATTCAGTGATGGATGCCGCCTCGACGCAACGCTTCTAAAGGCTACGAGGTAACTTTCTTCTCCGCACTGAAAAACCTATCACTTTGGCGAATACTTTCAATTCATGGTCGAGAGTGATCACATACCAAGCTCATCCAATGTCAAGTAGCATGGTATAATTTCATCTCATAAAATAGCATTGTCAATACATGCTTACGAAACACGCTGCAAGGTACAAAAATTGTCATTCTATGCCTTTGAAATCAAAATGCTTCCATTAACCTGCTCCTTAATTCATACATTCACGACTGCCTGTATTTTTTCATTGGCTAGATGGTATAGCTAGTATATATCCTGGTCTTCTAGAAAAACTTCACACTAATTGTGCGTTCCATTTACTTCGTCTCTAGGTGTAGCGTACTGCCCATAAAGTATGGTAGATTTTAGTGTGACAATTCATTAAAGGTTTTCAATGGTCCTTTTCACCTACTTCACGATGACTTATCAAGAGCTCTCGCCTGGTTCGTCCATGCGCTCCACATACAAGGTTTGGATTTCATATTATAACGCTATCATACCGTATTTATTCCTTCGACTTGTGGACTCTCAGAAAGTTATCAATATAACGTGTGAATGACTACTTGAGCAATGTGTACCATTTGTTATTCTTCATCCAGTGGTTTTAATCTTACTTCAACATGGTTGGCGGCATCCGGTTTCGGATTTGCCTGTCACTGTGGCCAACACCGTGCCTCATTACATCCGTAGTGTTCGTGTAAACTGCAGAAAAGGTTGTCGACGGGGTGCATAAAGCATGTTTTCACGGCTTGAAAACCATACGAAGTTGACATAACTAACACTATATATATATATATATATATATACATACATATATATATATACGCGCCCCATGCTGAGACTGATGTTGTGTTCATGACGCTTCTTTACCGCAGTTGACCTAAATCAACTTACACTTAAACAAGGTATCTTTTTAAGCTGGATAAATTTCATTCCACTTCATTTAATTTGTTCTGCCTACCGGAATAATCTATTAAATTTCCACGTTGCTTACGGTAATTGTGCTTATCTTGGTTAACTTTATTGCGTTTGTAGCATGTTCTGAGTCACTTCCGGACATTTTTTACTTATCGCGGATTCGTTACTAACCAACTTACTTCAAATACAAATTTAGGGAAGAGTTATGTCTGCATAGCCGTATTCTTTAACATATATATTTTATTTGTTACTGTCATTTCAAGTGATTGGCTGTTGTTTGACATCCCGGTGTGGCTGCGCGTGATGTGCATGTTGACAAGGTGCCTACCTGTCTATTACCCACTACCTCGTCCATACTGTCTCTAGAAGATAGTTGGTCGTTGCTGCAAGAAACGGGGTGCACGGTCCTTTTGGTCGTGCTAGGCTCGAAGAGTGGTTTCATGCACTCAGTGTGGAGCGGACTACGGTCCAGCCACCGCCTTGGGTGCGCTTGATTCCCCAAATACAGCGTGTTTGTGTTTGCCTGTGAAGGAGTATGGGCCGGCTCCGTTGATGAAACGTGGCTCCCATTCACCTGCCTCCCAGTCTTATTCCTTCGGGTTTACACTGGATATGGGGTGTGTGGATGGAGCTGTGGGTGGTGCAGCGCAAGACATCCATGGTCCCTCTGTATGTGCAGGCGTCCTGTGGCTGGCCACAGTGACAGGCAAATCCGAAACCGGATTCCGCTAACCATGTATGTATCAGTGCCCCTTGCTGAGGCTGATGTTGCATTCATGATACTTCTTCACCGCAGTTGGGCTAAACCAACTTACACTTAAACTAGGCCATTTTAATGTGAATAAAATTCATTACATGTTATTTGGTTTGTTCTGCCTACTTGATAATCTTCTCCTTACTTGCACACGTCGCTCACGCAAATTGTGGTAAACTTGCGTAATTTTATCGCGTGGTATTTTTTAAATAACTTTTGGACATTTTGTACTTATCGCGTATTCACATTTAACCACTTTCTTCCATATGCTCATTTAGCGAGTATTTATGTCGTCATATGCGTTTACTTTATTCGATATCGGCATTTCGAATGATTGGCTGTTGTTTGACATCCCAGGTGTGGCTGCGCGTGATGTGCATGTTGACAAGGTGCCTACCTGTCTATTACCCACTACCTCGTCCATACTGGCTCCAGGAGACAGTTGGTCGTTGCTGGAGGAGATGGGGTGCACGGTCCTTGTGGCCGTGCTAGGCTCGAAGAGTGGTTCCATGCACTCAGTGTGGAGCGGACTACGGTCCAGCCACCGCCTTGGGTGCACTTGAGTCCCCAAATACAGTGTGCTTGTGTTTGTCTGTGAAGGAGTATGGGCCGGCTCCGTTGATGAAACGTGGCTCCCATCCGCATGCCTCCCAGTCTTATTCCTTCGGGTTTACACTGGATATGGGGTGTGTGGATGGAGCTGTGGGTGGTGCAGCGCAAGCTACCCATGGTCCCTCTGTAGGCGCAGGCGTCCTGTGGCTGGCCACAGTGACAGGAAAGTCCGAAACCGGATGCCGCCAACGAACCATATAAAGGTAATGAACAACTGATAAACAGTACAGGAGGCAGGGTGCCACAACACCGGTAACGGAGAGAAATGGGAAACTACTTTAAAGCTGTAGTAATGAGGGTTGAGCATCACAACATGATCACCAATGTGCAAGGATTCTAACCATGTGTGTTCGTAGTCCTTGAGTCCCTAGCCATCGTGTTGAGAGCGCTTGACCGCGGCCAAATTTGACGTCAGTACTTTCATAGTTTGGGTCTGAGTCGTTCGCTGGCCACCTTGTCTTTGTTTTCAGCCGAATTCTGTGCGCGCAACATGTGCACGGTGAGGCAAACGCTCAGTAGGCATACAAAGCTAGTGCAGTCTGGCTGTCAATTGTTTTGGGCTATGCTGTATTCCATCGAAATGCAAAGTACTTCTCCAAGATTGGCGGGAATCTACCCCTGCGCTGATTCTTGGTGCGGATCAGCTAGAAATCCTTCAGGAATTCAAGTACCTGGGCAGCTATATTAGCGCTCTTAGGATCGCAAATGAGGTTACGAACCGTATAGCAAAAGCACGAGGTGGTTTTGCCAATCTCCGCCACCTGTGGCGCAGACGCGACATCACTCTCGCCCTGAAGGGCAAAGTGTACAACGCAGACGTCGGTTTAACCCACTTATACGGTTTTGAAACCTGGCCCATCAGTTCGACCGACATAAAGAGGCTGATCACGTTCGATAATCGCTGCCTTCGCAGCTTAGCTCATGTCTGGTGGAAGCACCTCGTGAGCTATGAACGTGTTCGGGGTCGCGTATTGGATGCAGGAAGAGCTAATGAACCACTCAGCAGAATTATATCATGCACCAGGCTTTGATGGCTAGGTTAAGTGTTGCGTATGCCAGCACACCAACTTCCACGACGTGCACTGTTTGCGCGCCGGGGGTGCGGATGGAGGAGGGGAGGACAAGCGATGACTTGGTTGAGAGAAATGAAAACTCTCACTTCAAGTTGGCGCCTTGGTCGGTGTTTCCCGACTGCCCGGCTGGGGTCCCAAGGACGCTGAACACGTTTGGTTGGACACATTTGTTGATATGCAAAGAGCCGGCCCCAGTGGCATATGTGTTGTGAGTTCACATCCCTCTCCGACATAGAATCCCTATCCAATCCCGATCTCATACGAATAACGTAAGAGAATATTTCACACTAGATTACTTGCTTTTGAATATACTGCAGTGCAATTTTTTAATGATCACAGCTTTCTGTATTGCGGTACATTACCTGTGGTGTGTTTCTCACCCTCAACTAACGTGCACTGATGATGAGGATGATGTTGATGATGATGGTGCTGATGATGAGGAGGAGATGATGATGATGACGCTTAGAAAAGCGCTGTACAACTGTTTCATCTTTTCGGGAATCGTCGACAATGCGCGTTCTATCTGGCTCCTGTGAGACTAGAACCCGCAACCAGACAGTTACCGGTTTGTGGTGAAGACCCTGGGCCATGAGGTACGACAACAACCATGAGTAAGTTACTGGAATTGATTTAGAGCCGCTCATTATCCAATGACTTGCAAGTTACTGCAGTGCAGAATCGGCTATCCTGTTCTCTGTACGGCAGTGATGTTTGTCCAATTTCGATGCCAAGAATGACAATACACCGAATGAACCCTGCTAGCAGTCAACAAAATGGTTGTAGCTTTAAAGTGATACTTACGGTTACAAGAAGAGTTATCCGAAAACACCAGAAAAGTAGGAAAGTATCCTGCAAATGGATCGAGAATGAATACACCGCGTTTATGCACATTTAGAGAAACTAAAAAGGAAAAGCAATGAGGTGCCCGACGAACAAACCATTTCTGATGGATCTTGCATAGAAATTGATACATGTAGACGGGGAGTAAGACCCAGTCATACGCTGGGTACCAGCGGCGAACAAATACAGGTAGCCCGACGGTGGAACTTGTCCCAAGGTTTCATAAGAAAGAGAAGCCGTTCCGCCATCTAAATCAAATCAGTAACTAAAACCTTTTACCGACAAATGTGAAATAAGTGAGTAACTGTCCATAATACATTTGAGATATCTTTGAAGATAAGTTCACCGAGAACGTCAGGCCTGCTGTTTGCTTCAATAAGAGCCATGTGATTAAAACATGGTTGTGTAGGTCCATTAATTTCAGTGGTTACTGCAATAGACAGGACAAGAATTCGTTTGGGACACCATTATTCCCAAAGATGCAGGTTCCCCGAAAAATACCACATAGTCGATTGGTGGCAAACTCTGGTCTGTTGTCGCTATCTGAATTAAAGCAACAGAGCAGTTTTCTGCTATGTAACTGGCTTCACAGGAGTGGATTTGTGAGATAAGGCCTATAGTTATTCACAAGTAGTCCATGACAATGTGTCCACAGGTGGAGAGGTGATAGAGGCTCCAGGTGGCGCGTTGGCGCCAGCATACACGAAAGCTAATGCTAAACAGAAACAGGCCGTGATCAGTGCAAAGCTGAAGTAGGCGATCACCATTGTCTGTATTGCGAAAGCCATGGCCGTGTTGACCACCCAGTTTACGTTCGTCAACTTCAAGTCTACCGACCTGCGCGTTCAAGTCGCCGGCGAGCACCAGAATGTCCGTGCGGCGCTTTTTTTACGGAGGTTAATCAGCTGATCAGATAACTCGTCCACAATTGACTCCGGGCTGCAGTCTGCGAGAGCATACGTTGCGACAATGAACAAACAACGTCTGCTGGCTTTGCGCCTAAACAGACGCACTGAGGTTCCAAGTCGGATCGCGCAGTCGACTGTTGGTAAGGATCCAGTCTAGTGGCGCGGCCTCAGCACGTGTGCTCAACGCAATCCCCATGCCAGCATGACCAGAGGCTACGGCGGCTGAGTCTCCGGATAGGCGCAATGTGGAAATTCCAGTGAAACCCGCAGACAGTGAAGCCAGTCGTAACGTCCTGCTAGAGTTTCGTAAACGGACTACGGAGGCAGCAGACAATAATGGCCGTAGTCTCTGGAGTGCGAGCAAGAACTGCCTGTGATCCGATCTGCATCAGCGTCCGAATATTGAAGTTTGCCCGCTTGAATTGGGAACAGGGCGCTAGAGATGGCTTGCCAACACGACTTGGCGCATCCACAGACCTAGGCTCCTGAGCCGTATGGCGAGAACGCTCACTCAAAGCGGCACGGTGTTGTGGAATCGAAAACGGAGGGGGAAGATCAAGTATGGGAGTTGAACAAACGTGAAATAAAGTGAGTAAACAGTGGTGCGATAAAACGTGGACTGGCAAGTTTGCCCGAGGGCACCTCCGCCAAGTAGACAGAGCGAGCGAAGTATTGTTGAGATATGGATCCATAGGTTCTGTGGGCATTGTGCATCCCGGTTGCCCAGGCCGAGAAAGAGGGTCGACTTAGGGGACCCCGCTCGGAGCCTTGGGTCATAAAAGACAAACCCGAAAAACATCGGGGCGATTGGCATATACTGCGAACCGTTGGGAGCCGGCAATCTAGGTGTGGATAACACAGCTTTCAAGTATAAACAAACTACAAAGGGCGCCCAACCAGCCAGTGAAGCAGCGAGGAGGCCAGAATTCCCTGGATCACCGAACGAGCCGCTAACTACGAGTGCTATTGACAGCCGGGTGGCTCATACGCCTTCATAGAAGCCGGTGGCCATCCAGGATGTTCATCTGCCCATCGTTAAGTAGTCATATTCGGTCGCAGAAGTATGTGGTCAGTGACCCTATAGCCGGTCACATTGGCTTTGACACAGCGTGTTACGAGCTCTTGTAGTATTTAATGAGAAAGCAGGTATCAGCCCAGAACCTCCTACGCTCTAGAACGCTGCCGTTGATTGTCCGCGAGCTTTTATTCATATCGCCTGTGAACAGCCGATATTTATTCACAATTACCTTCAAAAGAAAAACGTTCCCAGATCCGCGGCCTGGGGATCTGCCAGATGATGTAGAGCTCCGCTGAACGAATCAGTCGGTTCACTTCCGGGAAAAGGGGCGTCAGTAGTACGCCGGCCCGTAGCCTTAAGGATCACAACCAGCCTTGTAATCCGAGGGCGCGGCTTAGAGCCTGCGTAGGGACCTGGGAAACCCCGCAGTATCCCTAGCCCACGTGAGACTGGTGGTGGTTGCGCGGCAGTGAAGTATCAGTGCCGTGTACTTGTGTAGTGCTGATGGCTTTCTTTGTTGCCCGACCTAGACCAGCAAGTGAGTGGAATAGTAGCTAGCCTTGAAAACGCAGGTGTATCTGTCCTGCGGAATATTGAGGGTTTGTACAACACTACGGACATGAGCAGCCTGACCATGTAGCCTCTTCCTGTGAACGCGTCCTCTATTAATGACGATCCGTCAGACGGTGCTTTTGACTCCGTTCATAGTGAGAAAGGTTTATAGGCTATTGTACCTGTCAAAGGAAGCGAAGAAAGACTGAGAAGGCAGCACCTATACGAAAAGTGAAAGCGAACGGGGACGCAGCGTGTACGTCAAGTCCGCCGAATACAACGCCATGGGAACATAGTCCAGTCGTCGTTACATAAGCACCACAGACACCATCATCACATGTTAGCCGAGGGTGGGAAACACCTCAGCTAATGTGCCGCAATACAAAAAGGATAAGAAATTAAACATTACAGATTGCAAAAGTCAAAGAAGTAACAATGCTAAGATCACACTGTGCTGGACTGAGATTGTTGTTGGAGGGAGAAGATAAAGGGAGGGGGGGACAAAGAGACACACAACACAAACGCCATTCAGATCGGCTCCTTGACATGTCAGCCTGTGTATCCAACCAAACGTGTTCATCGTCCCTGGGACCACAGCCAGGCAGTGGTGAAACAGCAACCGAGGTCCCTTTCGAAGTGAGGGATTTTATTTCTCTAGACCAAGTCATCAATTAGCCTCACTTATTTCCATACCCAGGGCGCGCAAACAACGCACGATGCGGCGGTCGGTGTGTTGGCATGCGCAACAGCAAATAATTCTACACAAACGCATGATATGTTGTAAATGTCTTCACCCCGTGGTTTTGTAACACGCGCTGCAGACAACCCACATCAGGGCGACTTGTGCGCTGATAGTAGCGTAAGCGTGAGGAATGTCATTGAATCCTCCGCTGTATTTCCCACGGAAAAACAGTTATAATTTCCAGTGGTTTTAAAATTTGCGTTACAAGACTCCTCCTATCTGGATTCACTGGAGTGACCGTGGGTAAGTTAACCAGGCTTGGAAGCGTGCCGGTCAGTAGTCCCAACCTTACGCCTCGCGTTTTACGAGTGATCTTTTCCACACCGGAGGAGCGCCAAGAGCCTATGCGATTTGCTTTTAAATTAAAGGGTGTCCGAGATGCTAGAGAAGAGTATCACCTTTGGTAGGTGATCTGCCTTACCCTCCGGGGTAGTCCGTCTATTGTTGGTCTCCACCTGTCACCTAGCTCCCAACTGTGGCTCCAAAAAGTTGCTTGCACGCGGCAGAGGCAACACCCCGGTCAACCGTCAGGCAGACAGGCTAAAGCAGGTGAGTGTAGCCCGGAACACTATTCTTGGTGAGTTTGTACCCGCGTGAAATGTCAGTGCTGACAAATGGGTGGAAGAGATCGACCTCTGATTCAACGGCCAGAAGTTAAAACAATTTCACAGATCCCTGCTGCCGTGCAAGTAACACTTGGCTGTACAAGAGCTAGAGGTGAGCCCTCGTACAAAAGCCGGATGAGATTGGGTCCCCATATGTACCCATAATCCCCGCGAAAATTCATGACGTGTCCGTTACCAGCGATCCTTCTCATACTACGGCGTTCCCGGTAGGCGACGCGCTCTGCGCTGACCCACTGGCCAGAGTGACAAGTAAGCTGGCTGAGTCCTTCGATGCCCGGCAGCCTTTAATCATCGGATGCTTGAACACCAAAATCTTGTTGGATATCCGCAGCCAAACGTTGATCACGCGCACACTACATGACTATCAGATCGATATAGCATGCTTGTTAGAATCGCGAATACCTGGCTATGGCTCCCGACAAATCAAAGTCCCTGGTGTAGACACCTCATATTGGCTTTACCACTGGGCCGGAAGATAATTCTGGCAATCATGGGGTCGCCATTGTTCTCAGTTACCAGACACACAATGCAATCTTTTCATGGAAGCCAGTATCAGACAGAATAGCAGTTGCACGCTTCAGAGGTCATCGTATGAATCTGACCATAATCTCTGACTACGCACCAACCCTACCCTCAGCGGAAGGGTACAAAGACGAATTTTACGATACTTTACAGACGGTTGTAAACCAGATTCCAAAAAACGATATCATTATTGTTGGGGATTGGAATGCACGAACCGGGCCGGGAGACGATCAGACCCGTCACATACTCGGGAGATACACCCTTGGAGAGCGCTGTGACAATAGAGACCGCTTGCTTAGCTTCGCCGAGCGAAATTGGTTGTACATAACCAATGCTTCCAGCATTTCAGAAAGCATCTTCTGACGTGGTACTTCAACGATGGCCGTACAGCCGGCCAGATAGATAACATCTTGATCCGATCCCAGTGGATGTCCTATATCGATGACTGTCGAGCGTACAGGGGCTGAAACGGACCACGTACTCATGCGCGCTAAATACGGACTCCGCTCGGAAACGCGCCGGAAGGCCCTTCCACCAAGGCGTATCAACAATGCCCCAATGGAAAATACTGACTGCTACCAATCGCTTGAGGCAGCAATAGGAGCAGAAATTTCTGCCAGTGCACCATGCCTCGTAATAGAAAAAAAGAATCTGTCGACGCTCGTCTGTCTAGGCTAAATCGTCAGTGCAACACGTTGCTTTACTTACCCTAGGCCCTAACTCAAAGCCTATGAAAGACTGGATCAATGGAGATAAGATCCACTTGTCCGCTAAAGCGAAAGAGGCGTCTCACGCATTCCCCAGACTACCGTTACTTGAGACATGATGTAACCCGCTCAGCAGGGAATGATAGCAACTGCTAGTGGTCTGTTACCGTAGAGAACATGGAAGCTACATTAAATTTTAGCAATCTGGGTCATCTTTTTCGTCTCATCCGTATGGTTTCCGGAAAACGCTATTCACCACAGCCGATATTGCGTAATTCGCAAATCATCCTTAATACGGAAGGAAAACTTGCCAGGTGGGTGGAGTGTTTTAGCAACCTCCTAAACCGTCCACTACTCAAA